GCGCGTGGCCCAATCCATGGCCGGTCGAACATTCGAGATTTTCCCGCGAGAGGAGATTCATGTGCGGAAGAAACGACAAATCCACGACCGACAGGCTGCAATGGTGCAGAACGCTCTCCACGAGTGGCACGCTGAATGCATGAATTCCCTAGATCGCTCGGGATTCTAAATATATATGCGGAGCTCTGATAAGAGAACAATCGGGTGCTCACAAGTTGAGAATAAAGCGTTTCCCGAATCTGCTGGGCTCTTCTTGCGCACCGACTCTCAAAGGAGGGAAGTATATTGTGAAGTTGGTTGCGAAAATGTACGCATTAGTAGTCTTAAAGAACAACACACTCGGAACTAAGATTCTCCATGCAGTTTATAAGTCCCGACCGATGGGGAAATGGAGCAGGAACTAGCAGGCCAGATTTTTCTTGCCTGAGAAATTAATTCCCGACAAAGACTGCATGAATAACTGAAAGAGGCTAGACAGAAAATGACAGTTAAAGCAAAACCACTGACTCTCTACCAAAACTTACATCTTTGCCAGCGTTGGCAAGAACTGCGCCCCAGGGTGAAACGACGAGGGATTCCGCGTGGCTCACATAGGAGGCAGATTTGTCCTGAGCGGGGCTGCAGGCTGCAACGTAGCACTGGGTATCGAGAGCGCGGCTACGAGCCAGGAGTTCCCAATGCACCGGTCCTGGCAAAGTAGAAATGGAAGTGAAAATTAGAGGACACTTTGGGAAATGGGCAATGAAGTACATTTTTACGGTAAAGTAGACTTGTTATGCAACCACCCCACATTCTCTTTTCCCACCACCCACCATGGCAAGAGAACTGAAGGTGGGGGGACGAGAGTGCAGTGGTTGAATAAGTTGAAGAGCCCGCTTACGTGTGTCACACACGGTCTGATCTTCTCTCCATATGTGCCAGGTTTTATTCAAGAGGAGAGTAAGTGAGCATACTATAACGTGACCGTTTCGCTGTAGATTTCCACGATGTCCCCGTGGGCGCTGGCACGGTGAGTCGCGCGTGAATGCAGTTATAGTGATAGTCGGTGAGCGCACCACCTACCGCACTCTCTTCTCTCTCATCCACCTAGGCCAGCAAACGTCCAGTCAGTTCTCGTCTACGGTTTTTAATACTGGAT